AGGCAGATATGGCCAAGTGGGACGCCTGCCACCTTCCTCACACCTAGAAACAAAGGGGCTGTCCCTACAAAACCTGAGTCCAGTGACAGAATTGTGGGGAGAGCAGAGCATGGCCACCAGGCTGCTCTGCAAAGCCTCCTGTGGGGCCAAAGCCGGGTTTGAATAACTTTCAGAAGCAGATCTTCTGTGTCCTTTTTCCTATTCTGCTAAAAAGAATGCTTCTCTCAAAAGGCACGATTGTTTCATACTCAATATACTCTCTGGATCCATCCCCTAGCTCTCCAAAGAAGCAAATAAAAGGGTCTTCGCCTCCACCTGGCAATAAAGATAGGAAGATGATGAAGATATTGTGAGACCCTGAGAAGTTCACATCCATTTGGATCTCCCATGGGCAACAGGGGAAGTCCACTTGTGGGACAGCAGCCCCAGACACCACAATGCACACACCTGACCGGCGCCCTGGAGACCCCTTAGGAGACCAGCACACTGAGGACCTGAGGACAATTCATGGGGACTTACAGAACTGGGGCTTTGAGGCCTCTTTCGACGTACCTTTGCCAGCTTAAGTCTGTGAGGAGCTGCCCTGTTGAGGAGATTTGGGGGGAAAAAAAAAACAGAATTAAGAATTAATGATACAAATTCAATTAAAATCAGTCACATGCTAGTGGCATCTGACCTCTGGCCTTTCTTGTTTGGGTTAGAGAAATAAATAACTAGGAGAAAGGGAAGTTTTTCTGATGCCAGAGCGAGTGTGGATGTGGCAAGGTAAATGACCAATGTGCCCGTTGCTGTGGCCTCCCCCAGTGAGTGACCAGCTGCTATGGCCTTCCTCCTAGTGCTCAGTTTTGCTAGCGCTCCTCAACGTAAGCTTTTGGTCACCTACTGATGAGCAGTCTCCTTTCCCTTCTACACAGCAAAACTTGTATCTAAAAATACTGTTAGAAGTCAACAGAAAATAAGTCCCAGAGAGCAGATTTTCAGAGAGAGCGTGTGGTCAAGTCGCACTAAACTAAGAGTTGCCTGAATCCCGTCACTCTGCCACGAAGTGCAAGATGAAATTATCTCACTGTAGGTGCAGAAAACAATGTTTTTCCCCCAGTGATCATGTTGGCCCTTTCTGTTAACAACATTAATAAAGGAGAGTCAGCGATGATTCAAAAGCCAGAGAATTCTTAAGAGCCATTTGAATTTTGCCTTAGAACCAGGTTTCTTGATCTTTAGCAGGCCATGGAGGCTTTTGAACATCTAGTTAAAGCTATGCACCCATTTCCCCGAAAAAAATATTCATGCTGCAAATTTTATGCACAATT